CCCCAAAACCCCAAAACCCCAAAACCCCAAAACCCCAAAACCCCAAAACCCCGTACAATTTTATAAGATTGGGAATAGGTAAAGGCATTTTATAATAATAATTTTAAAATGGAGCGTAGAGAGCGTGGAGACCCAGAAAATTCTGAAGACCCTACAGAAGGCAGAAGAAGAGATAGGACTAAACCGAGAAAGAGAAGATTTGATAGTGGTCCTGACCCGGAGAAGATTAAGCAAGAAATGCTTAAAGGGAGAGAGCGAGATTATCAAAAGAATCAAGATGAGGAAAAGGATAAAGCTTTATCAAATCCTGCCTCAAAGAAGCCGAATTATGTGGGAAGTGATAAGCATGCCAAAAGAGCATATATTGGTAATATCCCTCCAGATACTGATCATAATGATCTTCAAATATTTTTGAATATTTCACTTAGAGAAGCAGGCGGGTGTCTTGAAGAAGGAAATCCAGTACTTAGCTCAAGTTTTGTTAATCTTGATAAACGATTTCTGTTTGTTGAACTGCGAACAGTTGCAGAAACCTCATGCATAATGCAACTTGACGGTATTAAATATAGGAACCAGGCGCTCAAAATACGTAGACCAGTTGATTATGATAAGAACTCAGAAGTTCCTCCCGAGTATCCGATCCCAAAGCTAAATCTTGCTGCACTCGGCATAGTTACGACTAATGTTGAGGACTCTGAACTGAAGCTCTACGTGGGAGGCTTGCCCATCAGCATGGACGAAGAAAAAGTAAAATTAATTCTTAAAAGATATGGGACTCTTAAATCTTTTCATTTGGTCAAAGAAATTAATGAAATTATTAGCAAAGGCTTTGCCTTTTGAGAATACACAGATAAAGTATCGACTGAAGCAGCAATCCAGTACCTAAATGGGTATAAAATTGATGGAAAACCACTCGTGGTGAAATATGCCAAGGGCATGAATGTTCCTACTGACAATTCAGATGATCCTGGAGATGTTGGACTCAGTGATTATGATAGATTGAAGAAGCAGATTGATAATAGAGCAAAGAAGGAGCAGGAAGAGAGACTCAAAAGACAGCAAGAATTAGAGAGAAAAAGACAGTTTGAGATCTTGAGTAATGGATACAAGCAACAGCAGCAATCAAAAGCTATGGCATCAACTACTGGGCAAATAAATAAGCCACCAATGGGAACTCCAGGAATGGTTGGAGCAGCTCCTCCAATGAACCATCATCCTCCCCCACCTCATATGCCTCAAGGAATGCCTGGAAGATACCCTCCTCATGGCTATCGACCTCCAGTTCCACATGCTGGAATGAGACCTCCTCCAAGAGGAGCTCCTGGTTATAGAGCACCAATGAGATACCCTCCTGGTCCTGGGTATCGTCATCATCCAGGATATAGACCTCCCCCACAGTATCCTTACCCTCCTCCTTCACAACACCCATACCCGCCTCCTCCACAAAATCACGGAGCCCCTGGGGGATACCCTCCACGCCCTTATGGAGGAGCTCCTGGTGGTGCAAACCCACCCTATCCACCTCCTCCAGGAGCTAGACCTCCAGGAAACTATCCAAGAGGAGGTTACAGACCAGACGTACCAAAAGGCCCTCCACCTAAAAGACCAGACCCATAAAGCAAGGCATATTTTTGGACTAAATTCAATGCAATATTTATTATTCGGGGTTTTGGGGTTTTGGGGTTTTGGGGTTTTGGGG